GGGTTCGACGCTGATGGAGGCGGTGGTCGCCGCGAGTTGTCGCGGCAGGGGGAAGGGCCCAGGCAGGGCGTGCGATGAGAAGGGTGGCGACATAGCGAGGGCTCACGTTCTCTGGATGACCCTCAGGCGTGCGTGAGGCGTGCGGAGGGAGACCATCAGGCGCGCACGGGACAGATGAGTTGATTGATTGTTTAGCCATTGCGGGTGCGTCAACTGCTAAGGTCATCAGACCCGTAAGTGTACTACATGTTTTCCTTGTGATGTGCCGGTGATCTTCCCCCTGTGGATGCCGAGATCCGGTATCGACCTGCCTACAGGTATCTCCCCCAGCGGGGCACCGCCCCATCCAGGGCAAACTAAGCTCCCGACCGATCTCGCGGCGTGTGTGGTGCAGGGCAGTGCATGTGAGTGTGCTTAACTGAGTGTAAGGAAGGAACAGAGGGGAGAACGAGGAAGAAGAAGGAAAACCCGCGTGGTCCGTAGCCCGTTTGTTAGGATGCGGCTCCGGCAGGCAGGTAGAGCGGAGTTGGGGAGGATTTGTTTTGACGTGGGACATACGAGGCGACACACGTGGTGTGGATGACGGTCATACGTTGAGGAGGCAGGCAATGATGAAACGGATTTTGGAGAGGATTAGTGTAGAAGAGGCGGCATTTTGGAGACACAGATGGAGGCAGTAACGGGTATTGAGGAAGCACCTGTTGGAGGAAAGTGCTTACGGGAAGTACTCGTACAGTGAAGTACTCGCGGAGCGGCAAAGCGTTCAACGACATCTTCGGCTTCTGTTACTTTAATGCTATTGGTGTCCTGGACGTACAGTGTTTCAGACCGCCACGTGCCATCCTGTCTTTGAGATTGAATGTTTTGTATATTTCAAATTGATTCTGCGTTTATTTTTCACGAAACTATTTAATGAAGTTAATACCTGTGATGAGAGGTTTGTTTGAGGTGGTCAAAATTTGCAACGCTGTACTGTGGCGTGATGTACTCCTTTCATCAACCATGAAACAACCGCAATCATTTTTAAATAGTCTATAAAATTATTTTCATTCTGTCACAGCAACTAATTTTCAGTCAATTATTGGAATTCTTCAAGATAACTGAAAACATTTGGGTCAAATAATTTAGCATTACATAAATCCGAAATACAGATGCTTCATTCGTGGCCTTGTGTATATATTCCATCTTGCGCCGCATTTATTTTTTATTACATTACAATTGTTATTTATACTTCTATATTACTAGATGACAAAGCAATCAAATTTGAGCAGATTGTGAAAGCAGGTGATTTAGATCAGTGAACTCAGCCAAACGGCCTCGCTCGATAGTTTCACTCTGCATTGTAATCTACAGATAAATAAACGGGAATGCGCGTGATTAGAAATACTCATTGGAGGTCAGATTCGATGTACGGAGGCAAAAAGAGCCGTGGAGTCGAAAACGATAATACTGCGCGATTCGATGTCATTTCCGAGAAAACGCCCTGAGAGTCTTGAACGCCCTGAAAGGTCTTAAGAACGTGAAGTCAAAGAAGTTACTTTTCAAGAAATGACAGACGTATACATTTCACTAATATCGAAAAAGATCTACAACTGCATTTGAAGGATAATTGATTCAAGTATTGGTTTTACAGCACTAGATTAATAATCCAATAGTGTGAATGAAGTAGTGATGAAAGGCCATTGAAGGTAATAAAATTGGAATAGCATTGAGGTGATGCAATTTAAGTTTATTCAATTGAAGTGGTGTTAAAGCAAAATGGCGAGCAAAGCAATAACACGACGTTTTTAATAGCCTGGGAGCGAGGGGGTCAAGTTAACGCAATTGCGGCTCTTTCGATGGGAGGGCGACTTCACCCTCTAAGTGGCCGGACCACTCCATTACGACGCTTGCAGCCTGCAGGGGGATTGCGGGTTTGTGTTCCATTGGAACATTTAAATGCACCCTTCACCAATTCAGCTCTTGACATTGCCCCTGACCTTGCGTGGGCGCTTGCGTCACGCCCAAATTAACCGCGGGAGGGGGCCGGCGCAGGGGAGAGGGCGTCACCAGGAAAGAGGGTCCATGAGGAAGGAGAAGAGGAGTAATGCGGAAACGAAGTTGAGGAAGGTTGTTGCGGTGATGTAGGGAGGGGAAGAGAGAGAGAGAGAGAGAGAGAGAGAGAGAGAGAGGGATGGGGAATGTGGGGAATAAAGAGAGCGGTCGATGTTCGACTTCGTGAATCATCTGCTTTACAACTCGATTGAAATGTGTAACCATGTGTGAGACAAATATTGCAAGTAGAATGTACAACGAACGAGTAACGACAATATCCTTTTTGGCATGTTTTTGGCATGGTAGAGTTTTCTGAACTCTGCCTCACGTATAAAAGGTTTTCAGTTCAACCGCGACACTTCAGCAAAGAAAGATTGAAATATTAAATACGTTGTACTTGTTTAACTGTTATCCTCACTAGTTGCATTTAATAATTTATCGTAACTATTGGCACTTGGAGTGAAAATCAGCCGTTTTGATGTGGATAATGCGACTATTTCCCGGCAATCAACTGTCAAATGTTGACACGAACCTTTCGCTTCTATGATGCAAATGCTACTTCCTTCCTTCCACACAGAGATGTCACTATTGTCTGAATAATTACGAGAGTAAGTAATTGAGGAAGTAAGTCGCAACTCCTTGCGATGTATTTAACATCCCATGAATTCGGATTTGCTTGATCCGTGTCGGAATGTGCGCCAGTTGCTGTGACGAAGCGACGCGACGGCATTCCTTTGTCGACCAGGCGCTTCCGCTCCTCCGCCGCCACCGCCAGCACCTCATTGCCTCCCCTCCCCCACTGCCCCCACCCTCTTCCGCCTCCAGGCCCTCCACCACTGCCGGCCCACAAAGGTGGCTCAGGGAGCAACTGATGCGGCTCTCCACGGCGACGGGATGGACGCGAGCAGAGCCCTAACCACGGATCTATCCTTCTTCCTTGTCCTCTCCTCTCCCCTTACGTACGCGCTCTTGCATGCACCGCACAAGTCCAGATACCACTTCTTAGCTTCAAGCTTGTCCCGACTGCGCCGGTGTCCCGCAGGTGGGAGATATGCGGTTGGGGAGAACCTAGCCCTGTGTCGGTAATAAACACTTACGGGACTAATGATCTTGGTAGTTTACGCCCCCATCAAAGAACCGATCCAGGCCCTCCAACGGCCCGGGGCGGCGCGGCCCGGGGCCCAATGCCGCCGACGCGGGTGAGCACGCTCTCGCAAAAGATCTAACACACAGTGGGCTATTTTCAAGGATAGATATGGATGAGAGTTTTAAAATATTTTTTAATCCTGTACAATTTGAAGGGCTTGAGGCCATGGACCTATCCTGGAACAGCCATCGTCCCTTACTGATGATGCTATGACTGTGAATGCATTAGTTGACAGCTATTTGTTCACCGCGAATAAACTTATGAGGTGATTGACAGCTCGTCGTCACGTGGTAACGTCAGCGCTGCATCCTAAGCAACTGCAAATCTAAAGTTTGGGCCTTTGCACAGTAGAACAAATTATTTGCACGTCGTGAATCCGCAGGTAACCAGCTGAGCGTCATCACTAGTGATGCGAGATAGTGAGAGTGAGGTTAATTGCTCTAAAATGCGTTGCATTAGCGGGAATTGTGGGTAGCGTCTGTAGCATGTATGTACGTATTTGGCATTTTAGGGTCGTATTAATCCGACTTTTGCCAGCAAGCGGTGTCGCCGGGCCGGGTAATTTTTAATTTCCTCTTCGCCCCTTGAGGTAAGGGAGACATGTTGTGAGCACGACGTATTTTCGAAGCGTACCTAGATTTTCTGACCTGCCGGAGGTCAAACAGCTAGAGAAACTGCGGCGATTTGTATTATAAAACTCCTCGCATCAGTTTTGCTCCGGGCGGGAATCGAACCCTGGACCGACTCACAGAAAGATAGCACGCTGTCCATGAACAACATGAGGCGCGTGATGTTCGTTTTGTGATATTTGTTAATTGCTTATCGTGAGTGGTTACTATATTGTAATGTGATAGAGAGCTCATGAAATGTTTCTCATAAGATGCCTACGCAAGATGTAGAGAAAGATCCTACGAATAACATTGAGAGATAGAACAGAGTATTAGAAAGGAAACGGATATAAAAGAGATATTACAATATACAGAAAAACTGACATGGCGGTGGGCAGACACGTTGGACGGTAAGAATAACGAACATGGTAGCTACTTCAACATTGTGGGACCCAAGAACTGACTGAGATACCAGAGAATGCAAAGAACGAGGTCAGACACATTCAGGCAAGAGGTTGACGTGTGGTCTCATCACGACCACGGGACAGAGAAATTTATATAATAGAGACATGCATAATAGAGAACATTTCGCACTACTTGTGTCACGTCTTATAATATACACTGTGTATTGTATGTATATTTCGATTCGTGTGTTGCTTTTGTTTAGAATGAATTGAATATACGGAATATATTGAATGTTCTCGTATGTGGTGTATTCTAATCAATTAATGGCATTTTTCTGTTGCTCGTGCAATAATATGTTTACTGGGCGTTCACATGCTGGTATGTGCTATGTGTTTGATGCCTATATTCATGAATTTTGTACGTCTCGATTTATGTTCGGTCTATTTTGTTTTCACTTATGTATTCCTTTTGTGTGAACCGACCCTGAGGGGGTCCATAGCCCTCAAGGCACGCACTTACGCTGAAAATAAAGAAATAATAAAGCATTCTGTTTGCCGATCAGACGGCTGCGATTGCTAAGGCAGTAGTGCCGTAGCAGTCTCGGACCAGATAATCGGCGTTCGAGTTCGGGCATGGGTATATTTCTGTACGTCTGTATGTGCGTGTGGTCCTTTCACCCCTAAGTGCTGATCCCCAGGTGAAGTTACATGCACCTGCCCCAGTATATGCAGGGTGCTTGCCCGCATTGGCCGAGTAGTTCGCTCTTCCTCACGCCCGCCTCTTGTGCTGCAGCCGCTGACGCCAAGAAGGGCCCGCCGCCGCCGCCGCCGTCGACGCCGCCGCCGCCGCCGCCGCCCCCGCCCCCGCAGGCGCCCGTGCACGGGGGCTACGGCGGCGGAGGCTACCGCCGCGACCCGCTCCAGCACCCCGCCCACCGCGGCCACTACGGCGCAGGTAGGAATTCTAGCGGCCGGCTGCTCGGATCGGTACATTTCGCCCATCACAAACGAGCCAACTCGCCTCCCTTACTCACACACATACATATTTCAGAATTTAGTTGAACATCCATATGGTGTTTCTTAAATTGCCACAACTCCAGCATCAAGACGACACTCGTTAATTCATCATCCTGCAACCTTAGCAAATATTACTACTTATAATTGTGATTTTTGCTTCATCAGTAATACTCACTAAAAATCTATTTTTTTAATGACAGCAAGATTGATGTCTGAAATTCCAAAATGTTTTTTCACATGTGTCTTCAGACTGGACCAATTGACTTCTATCGGATTTAACATAGCGGTAAACCAACTAATTCAAGAGATATTAAGCGAAATAATAAGTGATTGTAACTACAAAGTTCCATTTCTAAATTCTGTTCATAAATGAGGAATGCAATTAATTGATTCTGAAGTAGAAACCACTAATCCTAAATACGATTGTAAGTTTCTAAAACTCAATCTACTAATCCGAAATCCGACAGCTGATTAATTCTAAAAAACAAATTGATTAATCTGAAATACAATACCGTGGCGTTCTGAAAAGCCGCTGCAAAAGAAGTAGAATACGCGCAACGGGTCTGCCACATTGCTACCAAACAGGGTTGTGCATTGGCCTCTGGCCACGACGAGCCGGCGTTAGTGCTTGCCGGCCTTCGACACACGGCTTTTATGACCTTTGTAGTTCATTGTGCAAACAATGAACCAGGTAGCAGCGCAGGGCCGTCAAGCTCGGTTTGCTTGAGACTGTGGATGAATTTGCTACTTCTGTTCTCAGCGGTTCATCTTAAAGTCAAAAACACTTGGAATTTCGACTTCGGTCTTGCAATCTCGATATACCGCATCGGGTGGCGAAGTGATACAATAATCCAAATAACCGACGTGATGACCGTTGTATGCTAGAGGAAATGTGGTTATACGAGTAGTTTCTTGACTTGCTTCTACGCAAAAATCGCTATCCCCCTCCCCACGGTTGAACATTATACGAACGTCTTCTCCCTCACATAGACAATGTTAGAAGTGAAGACGCCAACAGTGGCATGGCTCTCATCGGCAGTCTAAAGCGACAGTGATGCCCGGATAATTTCCTCTGAATGTGTGTGTTTGGCTAAAGAACATAACTGGAAAAAGGCGAAAAGAGAGGGTGAAAGGTACATTATCATCATCATCTTTATCAGTGTCGCCTCCATCTGCTTCTATTGCCTTAGCTGAAGGTAGGCATACACGGGTGCGTTGATGGTAGGCGCCTCGCTCGCGCCGGTTGTAAGTGCAGCCTCAGCCGGGGCGCGCAGTGAGGTGCGCCGCTCTGTGCCGCAGGCTACCCGCACGACCTGGGCCCGCTGTACCCGGGCTACGGCGGCGGCATGCTGCAGCACGCCCACCGCGTGGCGCCGCCCCCGTACGGCGCCGTGCCCGTGCCCATGTACCCGTCGCACGCGCAGCCGCAGGCGCCCCTCTACGGCCGCCACGGCGGCGTCTACCCCATCGGCTACGGCCCGCCGCCCATCCTCTACGGCCACGGGCGCAGCACCCCGCTGGTGAGCCACGGCGCACAGCTGCCCGTCAAAACGCGGTAGAAAGCCCAGAATTAAGCAAGTCTGCACGGAACTCACAATCTCTGTTTATTAAGTAAAATAAATAAATAAATAATAATAGATCAGAGACTTCATTCAAATAATGAAGACAGTTTTCACTAATAACCGTTATTTCATAACACTGATACTAATTGATATTAGTATCAGTATTAGTATATATTAGCAGTATTATGATATTAGTATTATGATCAGGCGCGGATCCACGGGGACGAGAATGAGGGAAATTTCCCTCATCTCCTAATTTTGTTTTGTGACTATTAATTTTAACTTGTCGCGAAACTTTCAAGGAAAATAGTTTTGGATAATCCTTAAAACAAATTGCACCACAGCAGGAGCTGAGTGTAACCTGTAACATTTTTCAAAGTCTGTAATGTGACACATTCAACCAAACAATTTTTAATTTCCTCTTCCAAATTTTGTCTCAGAATCCACCCCTGACCAAATGCGTGTTTGTAATTCTTACTCCAAAATCCATCAGTGTCATCTATCTTAGTATAATCCTCTCTAATTCATCAACATAATCATCTGAATTCCCATCTACAGCAAAACCTTTACACGTGTATCTCAAACCTTGTTCCACTGTGTCACATTTGCAGCCTACAAACAATATCTTACACTTGGTTAGTTTTCTAAATCACTCTCATAGAAGAACTAAATGGACACGCGTAAAACGCACGCCGTTGATGAAACCCTGAAATCAGAATGCTAACGTATCGAAGTAGTGCGCGAAGCTGGTGATCGCTCACCACATCCCCCAGCGGCTTCGCAATATCGAAAGCTGTTTTTAGTCCACGAGAGGAAGGACGTGCGGCAGCTCTTGTGCTGGCTACATAAAAGGTATCGCAATTGAAACTATAATAATCACACGTGATTCGCCATGAAACCATTACCACGCCTCAGTGCCTTGTTTTGTTTTGATGTTGCCTGGAGGCAGGTGTTGTGGCTTGAAACTCCCCAGATAAGCGAATGAACTACAGTAAAAATATGTCATTTCTTCAATTCGGAATTAAAAGTTTGACTTTATTTACAAATATGTTTTCTTTTTGGAAATCATCAAAAAGGTTTTTCGCCATATAGATCTGTTCACAGAATTTCTTGGCAAACCATTTATAAGTGAAGCCAACTGCAAATTCTCATGTTACTTGCACAGTACCACGCGTACTTGGAAAGGCACGGATATACTTCCTTATTTCGCCGCTCGTAAGAAATTAACTCCAGCGCGTAGTTGTCGGATGTGTTGCCCTCGCTCTTTTTCTCGAGAGTGACGCGCTCCTCCATTTGGCGCATCGTCCGCCACATTCCGTGAATGAGGAGTGATTCACTTGGGAGGCCTGGCGGGCGAGTAATCGAAATGCATGAGTAGAGAGGAACGACCTCGAGCTCGTGATTCTTTACTGCTTTTTATTAATTAAATGGTAAACCAACTCATGGAGAGCCACCCTTGGGAGTGATGAAAGCGACAGAAATCCGAAACTTACCAAAATACTCAAATGATCGACAAGCCGGATAAATGGCACTCAGAAGCATGGTCAGATGAAAATCATTTAAAAGTATTTCGTCATGCAGTTCGTGAAATGAAATCGTTTCAGTTAGCTCGTTCCACGATTGGATGAAGTCTTGAATTGGAATCGTCGCCGTTTAGCCCTGTCCGTATCCGCGAAGACAATCAGCCGTCTTCCGATCGTTCGCTTTCTTCATAGCCGGAGCATAAGAAAGTTGATACTACTTGAACTGAGAAATCAAAATACTCACACCCGTCAATAGAACGGGAACATGTTAAGGAATGGAAGGTGGCAGTCTCTCTCCGTTCGACAGTACTCTTCATTTCTTCATGTCGGAGCAGTTCCCTAATGAACGGGCCACGGACCGTGTACGATCGTTCTTTCTTCCTCGTCCTATCCTCACACGTTACTTACACACACTTACATTCCCTACATTACCAGACATACCGGGAGATCAGTGCTTGTTCCAGCTCGGGTGGAGCCACGCTGATGGGAGATACCTAGATGGGCAAAACGTGGCAAGCAGATGTAGGTCGCAGTTGGATCTCACCGTCCAGAGTCGGAAGAACACCGCCCCTTCCAAGATGCGAACATGTGTTGCACTTACGGGATTCTTTGCATTAGCTGATGGCAGGCCCGGAAACCCGAAAGAGTCAGTGAAGTAAGGAAGCGAGAGTAAAAGTACACTGCACGAGGCAGTAAATCAGATAGTTCTCGGGGACCATGCTAGGTTTCTAAACCGCTGCAGTGAATTCAATCATTTGAGTTGCCAAAACAAGGAAGTAAGTGATGATTTATACAGTGCACCAGTGCCTGGTGAGTGTGATAGCAACAGAAATTCTGTTCGTAGCGCGAATTACAGCATGTAGCAAATGCAAGCGCACTTGCGCGCACTGGAAACGTTCGTCCCCTTCACTTGTTCCCCAGTGGTCTGACTGTTTGTAGGAGCCCCTGATTGGGCTCGGCGAGGAGCCTTTCCCGGTGCGCGTTCTGTCCCGCAACGGATTAACAGTGCTCGTTTATGAACTGTGTTGTGCAGGTGTATAAGAGCGGCCCGCAGCGCCCCTTGTACCGCAGCGGGGGCGGGCTGGGCGCCGGCGCGCGGCGCGCGGCGGCGGGATGCGGGCGGCGGCGCGCGCTGTGGCGTGTGGTGGCGCCCTGGAGCTGCCGCTGCGCGGGCGGGGGCGGGGGGGCGGCGTTGCGGGGCGGCGAGGCGGGCGCGAGGCGGGCGGCGGCGCCCGGGTCGGGTGCCGCGCCGAAGACGGCGGACCGCCACTCGGTGCGAGGACATGTGCAAGCCGGGCCATACACCTGGCCTCGGCCAGCTGCATCTGCATTCCCGGGCGGTCGTTGGCGCTTGCGACGGCGACGCCGACTGCGCCGACGACGAGGACGAGCTGGAGTGCGGCGAGGACGACGAGGACGGCGCGGCCGCCGCCGCCGCCGCCGAGCTGGAGGCCGCCTGCTTGCCCTCCGAGGACAACGCGCTGTGCCCGCGCACCGGCAAGTGCATCAAGCAGGACTGGATCTGCGACGGCGAGGACGACTGCGGCGACTTCTCCGACGAGACGCGATGCGGTGAGTGCGCCAGCCGGCCCTCGTAGCGTTGCACGGGCGCCTTTTGGTCCTTGGACAGGGATTGCTCGACGGAGACCTTTGGAAGTGCCCTTCGGCGAGGGCAGTTCGAGAGGTAGCCGTGGGGGAAGTGCAGGGCCCTTGCGTTGCCAGTGCTAGGCCTCTTCGCTCTGGGTCCTTCAATAAGGCTTAGGCCCGCGACACATGTCCTTAGATAGAAACTCTTTTAAAAGTACACTTTACCGCACTTATTTCGCCATATTTCTGTGAAGTATGAATGTACCCGGATGTCCTTCGTCAAGTATTTGTACAACACCATTGAAGCAGAATTCTATATTGTTAATCATTGAAATTATTATTGACTACTTTTAATGCATTATGGTTCGTCAGGCTCTAAACAGAAGACGAAGAAATGGCCATTCGTCTCCATAAGGAAGATCGGTTGAACCCTAGTTTTCCTCTTAACTTTTAGATTAAGTTAGATTAGTGTAGGTCCTTTCGAAGAGCCAACCACGTTGTTAAATAACGGCAATAGGATCTTCTAACGTTTTGCTTTTAACATCCAATCCGTTCGGCGAAGTAGTTGAAGGAGGCCCACACTCAAACGCGAAATTACCACTTTTCATGTATTTTAATTTTTTTTTTATTTTGTGAAAAAATGTACTGTGTACTGAAGTATATCTACTCTATTACAAATTTACGTTTTATAACAATGTTATTTTAATAAAATTAAATAATGAAGATTTTTCCTCGCTTTGTTATTAGGGCCTCACAAAGTGCCTTTCGATTATTGTTTTTCCCGCTTAGACGAGGGCGTCCCGTCGCCGACAACGCTCTTCGAAGCAGAGCTGACAGAGTTGGAGGGTTGAAAAATGTGAAAGTGGTAGAGGATGTTTTTTATTATTTAAGGTACCAACACGACTTGTGTTTGCTGCACACGTTTAGTAAAGGGCTCCAAACGGCGTTTTGCGCGCGGGCCCGCACTCGTTTCGCTGCGCTGCTGCTGCCAGGTGCTGCTGACGAGAAGTAATTTCTTTGAAAATATTTCGAACTACATCTCTAAGCCTTATTATGTGCTACATGAGTCATTACTGTGCGGGTAAATCTACATTTTAATATTTTGGACCACTTGGAAATTGTGAGACGGGAATAGTTAATGGCAAAAACGGTATATTAAATGTGCGGCGAAAAATATTATAACTTGTAACAGTAATTTTCCAATAAAAATTAAATATACATTTTGAAAATATTTTAATGCAATTAGTACAATTGTTTGCGTCTTAAATGAACTATGTAAATCAGTGAGCCTTTTTAAAAGTACATGTAAGCTTCCTCGGCTCGAGTCCATAGCACATGACAGTCGAAACGACACGTCGCGTCACTAGATTGAAATCGGACAATAAAGCGATCGTTTGGTAGAGAGACTAGCATAAGCTTGCACGTTTACAACCTCGCCTTGTTAACCATTCGACTACCAAAAGTAACTATTAATATGCTTTTATAAATACCGCAATATTGTATCGGTTAATCACATTAAACATTAATCCGAGATATTAAGAAAATATTTCAGAGATTTTTCCTACATTTTATTGATTAATAATGAATGTGACTGTAATGAGAAAATAGGCTCATCGGCGCTCATAAATGTGTTGCGTTATGACCAACGTTGCAGTGCATATGTATATCTCGTACCAGCCAGAGCATGGAAAGCGTGCGGATAGAGTAGTGTTGTTTTTGTTATTTATGATGCAACTGCAGTAGTCGCCTTGACTATTACTAATAAGTAGTATACAAAAAAGAATAAACAAAGAATTAATTAATGGTTAACTGCGTGAGTGAATTAATAACCCTTTCTAAAACTCTCCAATCGTGCACCTTAATATGATCTTATGATTTGATAATTTATAACACCGTCTATTTTATTCAAAGGCCTTCAAATTGTGTCACTAACCGCCCCTGAAAAATCGAATCAGGCTTCTAAAATTAATTAAATTCTAGAAACTCGAATATAAAACATATTTTTGAAATTGAAAATGAAATTTTTGAAATTGTTAATTTCATGAACATTTGAATAATGTGTAAGTAATAAACTGTTCCGACAAGTACTCTATCTCAATATATTTATAAATATAATAAGTGATAAAAGCTATTAACTGGAATGATTTTAATTGAGGTTCATTTCACTTATTGCAACATACCATTCAAGAAACACGAAAATATTAACAGCGTCTTAAGCCAAAAGCCAACAAGCAGTTTCACTGACTGTCGTGAGAAACATCACGTTTTCAGTAATAACTTCAAAATGCTACTTTGGGACCCCTATCAGATAGCTTCTTGTATGACAGATTTATTCAGGAAATAAAAACGTTTATCTGTGTGAAGACAGGAACAATTCTCAGAATTCTCAACTTAATTTGTCTTTTGCAATAATTTGTACAAATTTTGCACAAAATCTAATCAGTAAATGACCCCATCTCTGAGTTTGTCTTTTTGCTTTTTTAAAATATTTCTTGTAGTTCGTGTATAGTCGTTAATCAAGTCTACTACTTGGTGTGAAGCAAAAACACAGTGGTACTTGTGGCATATTCACAGTATATTTTCAGATATGTTAATAAATTTTTAACTAAAGATCTCTGTTATGTTTTTAATATATTTTGTAAAACTTGATGTTAAATTCTTTTCATTGGCGCTGTTCTTTAGGCACCTGAAATAATATTAAAAGTATATTTCAGTGTTTATTAAGCAAAGTTGAATTAATCTGAACTATTTTCAAATGAAAAGTAATGTGTGTTTAAATAAATATATAAATATAGTGTCAGGTATGACCTGCACGTGTGTGTCGTAATTTGGTATTAAAATTACTTCAAGATAAGTTTAAATGTTTATTAAAATATTTTTAATTTTCGTTCTTACTGTACGCGAAATGCAGAACAACAAGAAGCAAATGTTACACCTACAGGTTTGTAGTTCAATGTTTTTAAACATAGGATTCTTTATAATTATTTTATTTTAAACCGGTTGCAGTATTTTGGAGAATGCTGCTGCATGTGTGTCTCGAGTATTTTTTAGGTGGATTGTATTTGATGATAATTTTTTAAATACAGATTCCACGCGTGGGCACAACCGCAGGCAGGGCGAGAAATCATAAAAGCGCGTCATCGTGTGTGTGTTGTTATTGCATCTGTTGGATCTGGTCAAATGCGGCACAATAAACATTGTGATGTAATTTTAAGAGAAATAGTAATAGAGTTGTTAGTTTTAAAGGGTGATTGTTGCATAATCACCAGAACTTAGAGTGTGAATCTCATTCGTGGAAGATTCTTAATGTTATTTTAAGCTAGCATTGCACATTCACATTTGGGCATGCATTAATGCTAGTAATTTTGGTAGATATCTGCGTTATTTCCGCCGTGGTTCTAGGTCGACGTTAGAAAAGGCTATGTTGGGGCTCTTTTGTCAATCTATTGGCGAATGTTATGAATGTTCCTGACTTTGTGACAAGTTCCTCAAAGTTCACTTTGAATACTCTCTGCTTCAACAGATGGGTGTACGTGCCTAAGGACAACTCGGAAATGCTCTTTCTTTTTTTAGTTGGTACTGTTGGTACATTGCTTTTTTTCATTTAGAAATTTTATAACTGCTCTGTAGCTTTCTATTGTCTCTGGGTTGACTTTTTACTTCATTGTTGCTACATTTTATATGTAAATTTATTTTGCCCGATGGCTTCACGTAGTGACTCTCTGTGAACCGAGGGCACTTTTACAACATTAGGAATGAATATAGGCGGAGGTTTTGTTGGAGCTGTATCTCATTCATATCGTTTGCTTGTGGCGATCTTTTCCGTTGTTGTCGGGATTGTTTATAATGGCTTTGCAGTGCTTCAAACCTGTTGCTTGTTTTTTATTTCACTCGTATTTGGCGCTTGCTGTGGGTTACTATACCACCACTGTCACGTCGTTTTACGCTTAGCAGAGCGAACAACTTGCCATTCAGGTGTAGGAAAGTAGAATGCACTGTACCTGAATTTCGTTGATGTCGATGGAATTACAACTGTTCTCCGAGCGAACGCGGCCTGTAGCATTTCTGTGTCTTCTGCTTGCGATAAACTGCGTATTGTAAGGTTGCGTCGATTGTTCATAGCGTTGAACTTTAAGCTGTGCTTCTTTTGGAGGTCTTGTTGGCAGTTTGTTGATTTGGCACTCGGTATTGATCGATTAGCAGTTGTCTGTGCTGTTGCTGGTGGTATTCAGCCAGCCTGTATTTCACCGGCCCGCTGGTGTTAAATGTAGTTCTCTTCCGCCATCCTGGTGGCCCCGTAACCGAGGCGGGGCCGTAATCGCTGCCCCTGATCGAAGCGGGACTTTCACTGGCACACGCTGGACAACACAGTATCACCGATTATAATAACTGATGTTACTTAGGGAGAACGGGTCTCACTGATAATGCGCGGAGCACTGCACACACTGGACACACACTATCACCGTTTATAGTAACTGTTTCACTTAGGAGAACGGGTCTCACTGGTACGGCGCGGAGCTGGAGCCTGGCACGTCCGATCCTGCAACCGCTTGCCGGCTTGGAAACTGAAATTTAG